CAATTATGGATTTTTGGGATTCATTTTAAATTCGGGAGATGTAGAAGATGGAGGAAAAAGTGGTGGATTGGAAGATATTTCGATTACAACATGGACGATAAGGAACAATAATTGCGAGTTATTGTTAGACGCAATAACATTAAGGCATTATCAATCCCTGACATATTTACATATACCGATTGACATTACTATCAAAGAAGTTCATGAGAAATTAAAAGATTTGTGTGAATTATGTAAAAAATTGAAATTTTTGAGATTTGATTCCACTGTACAAGTGAAGGAACACGAAAATTATTCAAATGATATTCTACAGTTATTAAAAAAATATAGTAGTTTAAATATTACAAATTTTCAATTAATGGGATGGTGGAGTTTATCAGCCAAAGATGTTGTTGAATTTATTGATTATAGAAAATCTTTAAACTGTTGCTTTAAATTATATATTGATGATTTAGAAGATCATTATCTACTTTTCCCTTATATTATTTATGGAATATTAATTAAATAATACCACGATTCTGTAAACTTGTTCCCTTATCAGTATATTCTAATATCGTAACTTTTGATTGGCAGATAAGGAGCATTATCACGAGGTGTTGGGAATCTCTTTTTTTTTTTTTTTTTTAGTCTTTTTTTTTTTGATAAATTAATAATTATACATGTAACTTACACGCTGGCAATTCCAACTTGTGCTTTACTCATATCCTCAGGTTTTAAACCTGTGGCATATACTACAAATATATATATAATATATAAACGATCCTATTTGTTAAATGAACGAATGAATATACGTATCGCTTACACATTGCTTGAGCACCCCCCTGTGACTTTGGCTGAGTGATAATTTTACTTTGCTTGTTTATTTCTACAGCATTACTGCTATATCTTCTAGCAATTTTATGACTGTGATATATTTGAGAAGAAAAATATTTAAATTGAATAATTTAAATCATTCTGATTTTACCATAAACTTGTTATTTAATTACATTTGAACTTGACCAGATATTTGTCCTGCTACACCAGAACTTTTCCTTGCCAAGTTGGACATCATGACAAAATTAATTTCTACATTGTTAATTAAAAAAAAATTTCAAACACGAACGTTAGATTCGTCGATTATCTGATTTTTTCACATCGGAAAAATTGGTTGATTTCAAAATTTATAATGTAATGAAATAATCAAAACATACAATCACCAAAAATTTTTATCGAATAAATAATTTTCATTTACTGTATTTATATTCAAAAAAAAAAAAAAAAAAAAAAAAAAAAAAAAAAAAGAATCCCAAACCCCCGTGATAAAAACCCTTATCTGCCAACCAAAAATTACGAAATGAAAATAAA